TGGCTTCTTTGGTGAGACAATTGCATACTCTGATTGAGTAAATTCTTAAAGATTTTCTTCACACAATTCTTTTTAAAAGGGTAAACTTTGGATTTCTTTTTTTCAAGTGTTTGTCTTTTCCACTTATGAGAAGGTGGGCGAGTAGGCTATGTAGACATGACAGGATTTTTTAGCTTGCTATTAAATGTTGTTAGTGAGATGCTCTCTTTCATCCTCCTCGAAGGACCCATTCCAAATGGATTTTTTCCCTTGGCTTTATCACCGTCATTTTTTATGGTGGCTCGTGCGGTATCCTTTAAGCTAGCCATTCGTTAAAGTTTGACGATAGTATTCTTTAACAAGACTATGATTGGGCCTTTAATCTTACCTATGAGGGAAACAACAACATGCTACTCTTAAAGTTGGGGTTCACATTGCATGCTGAAATTTTGCAAATGAATATCAAAGTCTAGCAGTGATTCGCCAAAACTCTGTTGAGCTAACATCAAGTTACTCATGGTAACTTGGTGGTGGGCCTCAATGAAGCTCTTTATAAATGCATCCTCTATCTCGAAGAATGTTTTGAAGCTATCACTTGGTAAGTCAACATACCATTCAAATACAAACTCTAACAAGCTAGTGACATAAAGACTAGGTAGCAATGCATCATTGCCACTGATGTTACAGCAGAATACTAGGAATCGAGCAACATGTTGTCAGTGATTTCATCCTTGTTGAATTGTTTAAAGCAAGGATAGACAAACCCTTAAGAAAAAGAATGAAATCGTAAGACTCAAGATATGGTTTACCTTTCTTATAGTATTTTTGCCCGGTTGGGCTGCCAAAGCGACACTAATCCTTGCATCCATTAAGGACTACAAATGAAAATTAAAATTAGTATGTTCTTGTGGACAACATCAGAAGATGATGCGTGGCCATGCCTCGCAAGTGCGGGTGGCACAACAAGTGTAACCGGATACGCCTCAACCTGTATAACAAGTGATTCTACGTCATACCCAAGCTTATTAGCCTTAAACTTGTGTCTTAAACTTGTGTTTTTGGCTATTAAAAGAGCAATTTGATTTTGGAGAAGGGAGATAACTTATTCCTTACTCCTATCCTCATGATTGACAGGAGCGTCATCTTGAATCTCAATAGACTCGTGATGATCCGGCTCATCGGTATCATGGGTGGGATTCCCGCTTGAGGAAGTTCCTCTAGTGGTGACTGACATCACATGGTGTGTATCCATTTCAGAATCATGTAATTCATCATCGAGAAGATCATCCTCATCGATGAAACCTTATGGAATATTAGAGAGATTTCCATTAAAATCATCTTCAGAATCTGCGGTTTCATCTTTGTCCAAGCTGACTATCTGACAAGCAGGTTAAATCTAGATTGAATCTAACGGCCCCATTGTGACCGATCACTCTAGCTGGCCACTCGCATCCAGCCGCCTACCGCCAACCTTCTCTTTGATTTCCAGCTGGCTATTTCAAAATCAGCAAACTATCCTTCGGTTGATAACCTACCTTTGATTAGGGGTGTAAACGAATCGAATAGGAACAAACAGAGCTTGTGTTTGTGTTCGGTTCATTTAAAATTTCGCTTGTTTGAAATAAGCTCGTGTTTGAAATTGTTCGTGAAGTCAATTATAATTTATAAAATTTAATTTTTTAAAATATCATAAATTTTTAATATATAATTATTTTAGATTAGTTTATATTACGAACAATAACGATTCGAACATGAACGAATGTATCACCGTTCGTGTTTGGTTTGTTTAACTATTTGTTTAACTAACCGAATAAAAAAAATTTGTCCACGTTCGTCTCGTTTACTTATCGAACGAATCAAACACAAACTCATTGACAAACCGAACACGAATTGTTCGCGAACAAAGAGGTTTTTTGACAGCCCTAGTGCCAATTGCCTCTACCCGACAACTCGCTTCTCGCTTACAACATGCCTTATACCAACCATTTCAAAAGCAGCAAACCATCCTCTGGTTGGCAACCTACCTCCGACATGCCACCTACCTCCAGTTGACCGATGCTCTGGTCTCATGTCGACCACTTGCTTCCAACCAACAACCTACCTTCCGTCGGCCATCTCAAAAGAAGCAAACCATCCTCCGATAGGCAACCTGCCTCTGGCTGACTGCTGCTCCAGCCGCTTCCAACTGATCGCCTGCTTCCGGCTTGTCACCTGCCTCCGACCATCTCAAAATCAAGGAAGATTTACATACATACCACTCAATTATTATATATATGTTTACATGCATACTACTCTATTGTTATTTTATTATCCCAAGTTCGACAGGAACTCAAAGAGCTCATAGTTGTATGCATTTAAGCTGAACTTGAGAAATTCGAAGTGACCAAGCAAATCAAAGACTCCCCTTCAAGGTCAGCAAATTAAAGACTTTCTTTCGGGGCTAGCAAATCCAAGACTCCCCTTCGAGGTGAGCAGAATCAATGACTCCCCTTTAAGGTTCAACCACTCCCCTCCGAGGCAATCAAATGAAAGACTCCCCTCAATGGCCAGAAAATGAAAGGCTTTTCTCTGGGGTGAACAATTCTAAGACTCCCCTTTGGGGGGAGCAAAATCAATGACTCCCCTTCGGGGTGAGCAGAATCAACGACTCCTCTCTGGGACAAGCAAATCAAAGACTACCCTTCGAGGCAATCAAATGAAAGATTCCCCTCCGGGGCGAGAAAATCAAAGTCCCCCTACGGGACAAGCAATTCCAAGACTCTCCTTCAGAGCACCCAGAATCAACGACTACCCTCCGGGGCATGCAAAATAAAAGTCTCCCCTTTGGGGCGCAGAATCAACTATTCCTCTCTGAGGGGGATCAAATAAAAGGCTCCCCTCCAAGGCGAGCGAATAAAAACTTTCTTCTGGGGCGAGTAAATCAACCATGGCCAACATTTATCACTGCGCATTTATCATAAACAAGTTGCTCAATAGACGTAAAATGCTAATACAAAGGTTAAAAACAGTGGAAACTCTCACTCTTCTTGCCTATTTGCTAAGGTTACAAAACATTTTATGCATTTTTCTTAAATAAGAGGAAATAAAATCACTATTAACTAAGTGATAGATGAAGTCAATAAGACTGACCAAAGGTCATCTCAACCAGTCGAAGGTCAGATGCCAGACCGACAACGCAAATAAAAAATCGACTAAAAAAAGCCTTAAGAGAACATTTTGGGGCCCGAGGAAAAGACGCTCAAATCAAATGAGTATAATTATTGCATTTGCATTTTTAACATTAAAAGTTCCTCATTTTTACCTCAGCTTTACTTCCAAGAAGTAAGAGACTTGGGGGCATTTATGTATCTTCTAAAAATGTTAACGGTAGTAGAGACTGGTCGTCCACCCAACTGATCAGCTTGCCACATCGCCGGATGGACTCAACAATAAAAAGATGTCGGGCATACAAAAAAGTGCCAGATAAATGAAAACATGCCAATGAAAACAATAATAACCGATAACTATCAGAAACACGATGACTTGTAACTCCCAGGGGTAAGTATGTAATTTTCTAGATACCCCATATAATCTATAAATAGGATGATCTTTTTCATGTCAGGGGACTCATATCATTTGAACTTTCTAGCAATTTTGGCACCGCTCTCTCTTTCTCTTGTAACAATTTCTTACAACATATAAAATGAGTCCGAGAGCCAGATAAACACCCCCACTTCGTTCCACTAGGGGTAATCGCTATGTCACTCATTTCTCTCTCTCTCGATATGTTTCTCTCCCTCGGCCCCTACTTTTATGTCTTGGGCGTGGTCTATACGATAAATTTGGATTCATTAGTTATAAAAATAAATAATATTTACGTGTTATTAACAAATTCCCCTTATTTAAATCATGGAGTATCTAATTAACATTAGATTTAAGAGCAAACCAACGTTCAATATCTTATCAAGCTTAATTTAAAACTTAAAAAACACAGTTTCATTTATGAAACAATTTATTCATCGCTTCATATGCCATGATCAATGAAACTTCTCTCAGACCCAAAAAAAAAAAATGTAGTACATTTTTTATATTTTAAAAGAATCAATCTATCATCGAAAGTACTAGAAACAATTCGGAATATTTTCAAAAAAAAATTATTTATTTTTTTTAAAAAATAATAATAATACTTAAAATACATACCAAATAATTTAATTTTTAAAAATATAAAGCAAAAAAAAA